ATGTGGCGGTGACAGCTTGGAAAGCGTTAAAGGCTGTGCGGCCGAGGATTATGTTATAGGCAGAAGGACAGTCGACGACAAGGAAAATGAGTAACTTGCTGGTCTGCCGTGGGTACTCTCCGATGGTGATGGGAAGATTGATGGAACCTATAGAAGTCACCCGATCCCCCGTGAAGCCGACGAACGAGGTCTAGAGAGGGGACAATTTTCTCCGCCAACTTTGAGCTGGTGATAGGCATTCATGAAGATAATGTCGGAAGAACTGCCATTGTCGACAATCACCCGTCTGACTTTGTAATTGGATAGAAGAACAGAGATAACGAGGGGGTCGTCATGGGGGAAACGGATGCCTGTGCAGTCGGCCTCCGTAAAGGTGATGGGTTCAATCCACTGCTTGGGGTATTTGAAAGGGCGATCCAATGTGGTGACTTCCTTATCAGAGCCCTGTCTGATTTTTCTGAGTTCGGCTCACTAGGCCGAACGGGATGGTCTTTCGCATTCAAGCCCGCCAGCGATGACTCTGATTTCTCCGATCGGGGGAGCAGGGTTGCCTTGTGGTCGGGGTTGTGGTGGGGGCCGATCATTGTCTCGGTTAGGTTGTGGGGTTTGTCGGCAGTGGCCCCCGACGAGTTCGGTCCTTGGCCGCTGTTGGGGACGGGTTGCCGTGAACCAACTGAGGCGACCCTATCGTATCTGATTCTCTGCTTGGTCTTTGAGGTTAACACATTCCTCACTATTGTGGCCGTGGTCCTGATGGAAACAGCAGTACTTGGATTGATCTCATCGGTTGAAAGGAGACCGTGAGGGTTGGGACCATTTCAAGTTGTAATCTCGCTGGTTCAAGACTTATTCCACGGGGGAATTGAGGGGAGTGTACCGCTCGAACCGACCAGGCGGTCAGGTAGGTATCGATCGATCGGGGCAAGCGGGTCGATCGGTATACTGAGGGGTTTGCTATGTATAATGGGTGGTTTTGGTTTCAGATTCCTTTCTCTTCTCCGTAGAGGTTGGATTTTTAGTTGTAGTATCTTGGCGGGCTGCCGGAGAGTCTTCGGCGTTCATATATTTTTGGGCTTTGGAAAGGAGGGTGGCCATGGAGGTTGAAGGGTTTTTAGAGAGGGAAAAGAGGAAATCAGATGATCGTAAACCGGCCATGAAAGCCGTGAGGATGACCTTGTCATCGTTTTCCGCCACCTATAGGGTTTCGGTGTTGAAACGGGTGACAAAGCTACGTAGCGACTCCTCCTCCGTCTGACCGATATTAAGAAGCTGTGTTGCTGGATGCCTCTGGCGTTGAGTGCCAATGAAATGGCTTAGAAAGGAATCATTTAGGTGTTAGAAAGTAGAAACGAAGTTCGATGGTAACTGACTAAACCATAGTCGAGTCGACCCCTTAAGCGTCACGGGGAAAGCCCCGACACATGATCTCATCAGGAAAAGCATGGAAGATCATTAGGGTTCTGTAAGTCTCCAAATAGTCAACTAGGTCCGTTGTGCCATCGAAAGAGTCGATCGAGGGCATTTTGAACTTGGGAGATAGGGGTTTGTCCCTGATGGAGGCGACAAATGGGGAGTTGGTTGTTGTGGAAGGTTTATTATGTATGTTCTGTATAACTCCTTGAAGCTGGAGTTTCATGGCTCGGAATTCCGCAACTTAGATAGGAACATTTGTCACCCCCCGAGGGCAGTGGAGGCTGAACACTACTAGCCTCTCCTTCAGGGGCAAATATTTGATCGGACGGATGAAAACCTCGAGGTGTCGAGTTCATGTCTTGGGGTGAAGCTTGCCGATCCTCTAAGTTGGAGAGGTGGGCTTGTTAGAAAGGATGGCTCGGGGTTTGTTCTCGATTGTGAGGGATATCTTGTGGTGGTGGAGGAGGTATAGGGAGGTTTCGCTGGAGCAAAGCGTTGATCAAGGCCTGATTTTGCTCTGCCAAGCGGTTAATGCTGTTGGTGAGTTCTGTGAAGTAGTTTGGATTGGTAAGGTCGGCTTGGGGGGCGACGACGTTGTGTTAAGAAGCCATGGATCACGTTGTGACCATTCACCTTGATGGCCAGCGAGGAGGGATTATCGGGAACGGGTCTTCGGTAACAATGAGCACAATTGTCACGCGAAATGGCTTTCCCACAGACGGCACCAACTGATAATACTGCTAATCGTAGGCCCACACTTCCAACATCATTCCCTGATCACTGAGCCCACCGGGATACCTGCACAAAAGCCCAGCGGGAAACAGGAGACCCCCAGCGGACCTCCGACGGTCAAGTTAGAAGAGAGAGGGGTTAACGGCGAATGATAGGAGAATAACGATAGGGCACTTAACCTTTTTGTGTCTTGGAAGCCTTCTTATATCCTTTGTTCATCATTTCATTGTCCACTCCGACCTGTCATGTTGGCCGAAAGTCTACGCTCTAGCTTGCCTTGTTCATGGTGAGGCTGTCTGCTCTGACGTGAAGGGATTATCGCATTTAATGTTGTAGGGGCTTCATTAATGGCTAATGTGTAGTGCAATAACTCTGCAGGATCTTTGTCTGCTCACGTGGCTGGTGCTCCCTTGACAATTGTTTAGATGCCATTGGTTCTTGATGTAACGTTGGATTCTAGTAGTGTTGGGCTTTAGTGTTTAAATCGTATATTGGGCTCTAAGTGGTCGGCCAAAACCTCTATGGGCCTACCGATGTCAGTAGTCCCCCATTCCCAAGTGCAGTTTCAGTTTGAAAATTTTCGAAAGTTTCCGCCCCCGCCTTTTCCACGTCCTATATTAGTCCTACCCCTTCGTTTCTTGCTAATGCATCACCTCCCTTATCACGGGATCACGTCACGTATACGATCACGATTCACTACCCTTTTCCCGTTCCCTATCTATTCACTTCACATCACCACATACCCCGCCGCTCCTTGAGCCCCACACGCCGCAACTTTCTCGCTCGGTCCCCCTTTATGGTCGGCCCTCCTCTCGATCGGTCTTCTCGCTCAATCCCCCTTTGGGGTCGGCCCTCCTCTCGGTCGGTCTTCTCACTCGGTCCCCCTTTGCGGTCGGCCCTCCTCTCGGTCGGTCTTCTTTCCCAGTCGCCCTTCGCGGTCGGCCCTTCTCTCACTCGGCCACCCACAATCCCCGTCTTCCTTCTTATTCCCTTCGTTGAACTGAAGTTGCACTTGGGAATGGAGAACTACTGACATCGGTAGGCCCATAGAAGTTTTTGGCCAACCACTTAGAGCCCAATACACGGTTTAAACACCAAAGCCCAACACTACTGGAACCCAACGTTACACCAAGAACCAATGGCATCTAAACACTTGTCAAGAGGAGAATCAGCCACGTAAGCAGACAAAGATCCTGCAGAGTTATTGCACCACACATCAGCCATTAATGAAACCCCTACATCATTAAATGCGATAATCCCTTCACGTCAGAGCAGACAGCCTCACCATGAACAAGGCAAGCTAGAGCGTAGACTTTCGGCCAACATGACAGGTTGGAGTGGACAAGGAAATGATAAACAACGGATATAAGGAGACTTCCAAGACACAAAAAGGTTAAGTGCCCTATCATTATTCTCCTATCATTTGCCATTAACCCCTCTCTTTTCTAACTTGACCGTCGAAGGGTCCGCTGAGGGACTCCCGTTCCCCGCTGGGCTTTTGTGCAGGTAGCCCGGTAGGCTCAGTGATCAGGGAACGACGTTGGAAGCGTGGGCCTACGATTAGCAGTACCATCAAATACCATGATAATGTGTACAACTCTGAATATCACATTCATTATTATATATTAGAACCAATGTATTTTTGTTCCATTCATCATCCATTTCTTTAGGAATCAAGATCTTGTTAAGAGGGCAAGGTATAATAATCAAAATTACAATAAATATTAAGTGGAAAGCACAGTATTGAATAAAAAGCGTAAAAAAATATCTAAACAGATATAGCATTATAACCTACTTGGGTTAGACTTGCACAAACACAAAAAGCAAAAACAAGCAAATGCATGACAACATATTCCAATCGAGGAGCAAAAGAGCGCATTAGTCCCACTTGGAAGAGTATTGCAATTTTTGTTCCCTGTTTTCAAACCAAATCTTCTTCGGGTAATTATGATCAATTCTCTCCAAAACTTCTTCTCACTAAATCTGTTTTCATCTTATATTTCATGTTCACTTTCAAAAAACTAAATGCCAGTCCCCAATTGTGCATTCAAAGAGCAGACAAACCAATATCCGTGGATATTGTTTGACAAAATGGGATTGCTGATTCAATATTCACAACAACAAAACAGGTTTGATGCAACCATATAAATACACACACAGATATAGACATAAACACATATATGCACATATCTATACTGTTATATAACCTAAACCCTGAAATTGGGGTGAACACTCATTCGAAGTTGTTTCATATATATATATATATTTTTTTTCATGCCCTAATTTAAATTTTTTCAGTTTTCTTCCCTTCATCTATATTCAACTGCTTAAATTTTGATGGGTAAGACCATCCAACGTATTTAAATTTGATGAAAAAACACCCTTTTTTGCTGCTCCAATCGTTTCATCAAATGAGTATCAAATTGAGATAGATAAATCTTTCATCAAATTGAGGACGGCTGAACCTTTCATCATTTCACTATTCATAGCAGTTGGAGCTTTATATGGTGTCCCAAAGCTTTGTTTGTTATGTTGTCACGTGTCTTTTTTTTTTTTTTTTTTTTAAATTTTAAAAAAAAAATTAGGTAAATGAGTGGAGGGGACTTTAACGTTAGACTTATAACAATTTAGACTTATAACAAATAAATAAGACTATTCCAACTTAACTAGCACAAAATATATAATAAATTTTTTATTTTATTTTTATTTATTTGAATAGCCCACTTGTATATATATATATACAAAATGTCAGAGATGCTCTAACAACTAAAGGTTTGACAGCTTAGAATTTCCCCAGCAAACCCATGTGTATATATAACAAGAACAAGTATAATTGAGTAAGTAATAATAAGTACCTTGCAAGTGGTGAATTCTTGAGAGCGATATTTCTCATTCTCGGTGAAGATGCGAGAGTGAAGCATAGGAGTATAAGCAGCTTGAGCTCCATACTTGCGACAAAGCATCCGAAAAGGAAGCTCGGAGTTGTCAACCATAGGAGCCACGATCAGCTTAGGCTGGCCCAGCTTCTTCCAGTGAGCCCAGGCTCGCTCGATCCGCGACTCGCCGCTCAAGTACCCTCTCGGACTACCCACAACAGATTCAGGTTCAAATTCTTCTTTCTCTTGTTGTTTGGGATCCGAGAATTCGCAGCAAAGTCGGTGGTCCTCGTCGGCAGGAAGCGAAAGGAGAGTTGAAGAGGCGACCGCCATGAATGAGAAGATCGGTGACAGCGAGAGAAAAGGGTTTAGGGTTTTGAAGCGCAGCCCATCGCCGCCAGGGGGTTGGGGCGGCGACGAAGTGAAGAACGTTTCGTGTTGTTCCTGTTTGGTATTCGCTCAAATCAAAAGTACGGTTGTAATTTGGGTGTGGATTGAGTCCGAACCAATTTTTTTTGTCAAATGGATGGGCTTTGATGAGAGAAGTTATTTGGTCGATATTATATTGGAAAGGTGGTAACTCTTTTGAAAGTCATGTCAGGCAACAGGCTTCAAAGTCTGTCAAGCCCAAGACTATCCAAAGCCCATTCCTATGGGCCTAATGGCTATGGATGAAAACAATATTAATCCATTTTGGTAGCCTGACCCCCACAACAAAAATATGGATAAATTCCTGTTTATATTTGGTCACTTTTCTATTTTAGTCCTTAAAATTTTTTCTAGTTTATTCTTAAAACTTTTTTTTTTCAAAATTAGATAAAAAATGTCACAATAACTGTCATATATTATAAAAAATATATTATTATATTGAGATTTGAGTTTGTGTCAGATGTGTAAGTTATATATTATAAAATATTTTTATATCATAGGACTGTCAATATATCATTTTTTGTCTAATGTTTAACACAAGTTGGCTTAATATTTATGAAGGGCCAAAGTGAAATATTTATTCAGTAACAAATTTTTTTTTTTTAACCAAGAAAAAAATATATTTTTTGATAGGCTATATAATGGCACCTTCCGTAAAACATATTTTGAGCTTTTTTTTTTCAGTTGAAACTACATGTTTAATCTATTGTACTTTGGCAAAAAAAATTAGTTGTTTGGTAAAAATTTTCAAGTTTTCAATATATGTACTTTTTAACTCAATAAGCAACTTTTTTTGAAGTTGGAATTAGATGCTTTTAAACAGGGCAGCCTGGTTTGATAAATGTTTTTTTTTTGGTTTGATAATGACTCTTCAAAACCTTGGTTGTTCCACACAGACTTCACTGGGGCTGGGTCTATTTGTCTCTTTCTAATTCTTCTTTTTTTTTTTGAAAAAAGGCTTAATCTAAATATCTATGAAAAAATAAAATTTGATGTTATTTAAAAAAATTACATTAAAAAACAAAACAAAACAAAAAAATCATAAAAAACAACTCTCCTCATTAATTACCAATCCTCATTTTATATTCATCCAAACTAAAACTAATGTTTGAGACTCTAAATAAATTATCAAATATTTACATAATACTAACACAAATGAAAATTCACGTGAGTCCCATGCAAATAATTTAATAATTTATTTGAGTCTCTAAAATTTTTGATAAATTAATTATATTTAAAGTTGATACACAAAACAAATTCTCAATAGGTACCCAAACATGCAAATAATTTAATAATTTATTTGAGTCTCTAATATTTTTGATAAGTTAATTATATTTAAGGTGGATACACAAGACAGATTCTCGATACGTACCCAAAAACTTCTCTCTAAAGTGGTGTGGCAACTCAACCATTTATTTATAGGGTGAATTACATTAACCTTCTTTATAATTTGAATCTTGTATTATTTTGCTTCTTAATTTTTTAATTATAATATATTTTATCTTAAATTTTAAATCTCGTTTCAAATAGGAACAATTAAAGACACCATTACTTCATTTCAATGACAAAGTCATCGTTTGATAAATATAAACTAATTTGACAAAAATAAATGTCAAAAAATTATTTTAAATTTTTAAAAACTATTTCTACCTATTAAAGATAAAATTATATAAAAATAATAAATCTTCTACGTTTTTATTTTTTAAATTTTTTTTATCAAATTAATTTTTAGTATGTGTTTAAATGATGATCATGTAATAAGTAGTTTTTTTGTTGATGTTTTTTAATGGTTGTCATGTCATAGATGACTGTATTTGTTATTAATAGATATTTTAAAATCATTATAATGTAATGGATGGTTATTAAGGTGCCGTTTGGTAACACTTACGTTTTTAGTTTTCTGTTTATATTTAAAAAACTCAAATAAAAATTTGTTTGGTAAATTTTTGATTTATAAATCAATGGTCTCAGTTTATAAATTTGGCCAAAAAATGTAAACTCAAAAAATGTATTTCCGCTTTGAGTTTTGAGTTTTTTTTTTTTTACCACCCAACACAACCCAACCCCCGCCACCATTTTTCACCACCGTCTTCCGCCACCACCACCCACCCCCCCACCACTTGCCACCACCACCCACCTCTCGCCACCACCACCACCACCGCTACCCACCACCCACCGTCACAACTTTCCACCACCGTCTTCCGCCGCCACTTGCCACCACTTGGCATTTCTCACCCTTTTTTATATTTTAAAAATTTTTGAAACATTTTGTCAATTACAAAACGCGTTTGTAGTTTATGTTTTTTCTAAAAATAAACAAAAAATAAACAAAAATCAGTTTATAAATTTTTTGTAAATATAAACTAAAAACGTAAACGTTACCAAACAGACCCTTATGGATAAAGTTTTAAATTTCAAAATTCCTCCAAATAAACATATAAAAACTGAAAATTAATTTTATAATCTGCAAATAAATATAAAAATTAAACAATTAATTTCATAACTTATAGATAATTTAAAATTTCTTCCCATAAATAAACATATAATAGTTGATGAATAACTTATAAAAATAAATTTCATGGCCTACAAATAAAGATAAAGATTAAATATTAAGCAATTAATTTCATAACTTATAGATAATTTAAAATTTCTTCCCATAAATAAACATATAATAGTTGATGAATAACTTATAAAAATAAATTTCATGGCCTACAAATAAAGATAAAGATTAAATATTAAGCAATTAATTTCATAACTTATAAATAATTTAAAATTTATTCCCATAAACAAACATATAAAAGTTGATAAATAACTTATAAAAATTAATTTTATGGCCTACAAATAAAGATAAAGATTAAATAATTGATTTTAAAAAAAAAAAAGGCATTACATTCTCATAATTTTAAAACTCTCTCTTTCTTATATGGCAACCTTCTTTGATTGCCTTTCATGTTTTCTATTTTTCTTTATTTTTTATTTTTTTTGATTGATAAAAATTAAAATTAATTTCATTACTTATGGATAAAGATTTGAATTTCAAAATTCCTCCATATAGATAAACATATAAAACCTGAAAATTAATTTTATAGTCTACCGATAAAGATAAAAATTAAACAATTAATTTTTAAATTAATTTCATAACTTATAGATAATTTAAAATTTCTTCCCATAAATAAACATATAAAAGTTGATAAATAACTTATAAAAATTAATTTCATGAGGGAGAAGAAGAAGGAGGAGGAGGAGGAGAAGAAGGAGAAGAAGAACTCAACTGAGGGGCCAACAAAATCGGGCGGAGGTGGAGGCGGAGGCGGAGGTGGATGCGGAGGCGGCGGCGGCGGCGGCGGGCGGAGGCAGAGGTGGAGACGGGGCTGCGATGCCGACGAACGACGAGGGACGAGCTGCGAGATCGGCCGACGAGCTGCGAGATCGGGCGACGAGCTGGGACGCCGACGGGCTACGATGCCGACGACGACCTGCGTTCTTGATCTCGCTCTCACCTCTGTGTTCTCTCTCTCGCCTTTGCAACGAAGAAGAAGAAAGAAAATGAAGAAAAGAAAGAAACAAAAAGGAAGAAAAAAAAAAAATCAAAACCCAAAACGACGTCGTTTTGGGTTTTGATTTTTTTTTTTTCTTCCTTTTTGTTTCTTTCTTTTCTTCATTTTCTTTCTTCTTCTTCGTTGCAAAGGCGAGAGAGAGAACACAGAGGTGAGAGCGAGATCAAGAACGCAGGTCGTCGTCGGCATCGTAGCCCGTCGGCGTCCCAGCTCGTCGCCCGATCTCGCAGCTCGTCGGCCGATCTCGCAGCTCGTCCCTCGTCGCTCGTCGGCATCGCAGCCCCGTCTCCACCTCTGCCTCCGCCCGCCGCCGCCGCCGCCGCCTCCGCATCCACCTCCGCCTCCGCCTCCACCTCCGCCCGATTTTGTTGGCCCCTCAGTTGAGTTCTTCTTCTCCTTCTTCTCCTCCTCCTCCTCCTTCTTCTTCTTCCCCCTAATTTCGAGCCAAATTCGAGCCCCTATATTCGGGCTCTGTAGAATTACTGTAAAATAAAATTCAAAAAACTGACAGACTCGATAATACAGTCCAATAATCCATTTTTATTTTTTTAGAAGCGCCAGAAGTACTTAAAATTTATACATTATTTTATTCACCTTGTTAAAGGGAGGTGGAACTCACATCAATACATGGCATGAGTTTCCTACTTCATGTCAAAGGCTAATAAAATAGTATGTAAAATTTTAACTACTTCTAACATTGTTGGTGCTTTAGCACTTGTAAAGGTTATTGAGTGAATAATATCATAAAAAGACCAATTATTTATAATTCTAAATTTATAGAGTTCCAACAATGGTTTTAATAATGTGGCATGAAGTAAAAAAATAAAACACATACATCAAATCATTCATGAGTGAGATCTACTGCTACGTAAGTAGAGCTCTCATTAGAGCTCTACTTTTAGTGCTCTTAAATATTTTTGTCATAAAAAATAGAAATGAAATTGAGCTTTAAACTGTGGAGGTGTTGTTGAGCTGGGTGGGTTCACTAGTGATCTATCATGACAATTTAAATTATTCATTTGAATATATTGTTTATGGGAAAAAAATAATTGATCGAATAATAGTAATCACATAATCGCATCATATTTATTTTAAAAAAATAAACAACAAAGATAATTTTAAAAATAAATTGTTCATTTTATTTTTAAGACTAATGTGACTTGATATTCGATCTATAATGTGACTTTGCATGACAAAAACTACAAGAAAGAGGGTTTAATTTCACAAAGATACACCATATACGGTACTTTCAATGAAAAATCATAATATATATTAAGTGAGTTATTATTCATCTCCTAACTATCAAAAGATGTGCACTATTTGGGATGACCTAAATAAGTGTAGTTTTTGTCTTTTTACGAAAAGATGTGCAGAAAAATAGAGATGTGATGTGATGGAAAAAAGATAAAAAAAAAATTTAAAAAATAGATTATTTTGTGTATGCCAAACTTTTCCATCTATAAATTTTTTTCATACATAATTAATTTGAGATATCACATAAATAATACAATATAATATTTTGAGATTACAAATAATGATAAGCCCATTGATCCAACAACACTAATCTAAGTCTTCGTTTGGGATGTGGATTGACTTTTTGACTTTTCAGCTAGTTTGTTCAGGGCTAAAAAGCCTTGTTTTGGATGAACTTTTTGATTTTTTTGACTTTTGTGAGTAAAAAAAATGAAATGATTATGGTTTAGATGTAATATTTTATCTTATTAATTTTTTAATTTATTTTGTCTTTTTATAATTATTTTAGTCTAAAAAATTTATGTCAAACGTAACCTAAATAAATTAAATGCTCAATAAAAAAGAATCCAATCCAATCCAATCCAATCCAATGCTTACTTAATTTAACACATAATCTCAAAACCCTTTCATATTCATAGACCCAATGATGCTAATTAATTTATCTCCTATTTTAGAGCCAAAACAATAAACAACTTATTGATCGTCCACATCCTAACCAAACTGCTAGGCATGGAAATGAATCGATACATATATATGTGGTGTACATTCAAGATCATCTCCAATTTTTGTTTCTCGAAACAAGCATGGTGCTGAATAGTCACACGAATGAGACAAAGCAAAAGCCAAAATGAAATAATAAAAACATTGTAGGACCCAACCCACCTCTCATGGGTCAAATATTTCGGTTGTATTTATTTATTTGTTTAAAACTCTGCCACCACCAGCCCATTTTGACTATGCCACATTGATTTCTCACTCGTAAGTTATAGAGGAAAAATTATTGTTTGCTCTTGCAATGTTTTATATTCATATTTTTTATTAATTATTATTTATTATATTATTTTATATTTTTTAATTATTTAACATAAAATTATTAAATTTATTTATTTATTTTTTAATTATAATATTTTTGAAATATCACATTACTGCATTCTAATAGTACTCAATAATTACTCTTCGTAGAGAGAGTGTGAGGTTTAAGCTCCTCCACACCAACCAATACCATCTTCGTTTCGTAGTCTTCTCTAACTCCACCCAACACCAACGCCCATGCTCTAAAATCAGAGAGCTCTCTCCACCAGCCATGAATTTTTTATTTATTTCTTTTTCTTTTTTTTTTAAATCTCACGAGTGTTCCGATTAATTTCAATTGCATACACTGCAATTAAATTATTAATTTTAATAAAAATTTAAAAAGACAAGGAAAAGTAAAATAATAAATTTAATTTATATTCATCTCAAACTTTCATGATCGCTTCTCAAATCCTCAGTTAAATTAATTCAACTACAACTGTAATATATGTTTGTTTATGTTTTCAAACTAGTTTTTTGCATATAGGTTTGAGCATGATGTTTGGATAGAGTTGTGGAATTAATTTTCCACAACTCTGCAGATAACTCTGTCAAACAGAGCGCGTTTTTCAATTTTTTCTTTCAAAATTTGGCCTAACCGGTTGTCCGATCGGTTGACCGGAATAGTGATTTTTTTTTTTTTTTTTGCAATTGATATGCTAATATTTATATATTCGAAAAAAATATTTTCTGAACTTTTAAAAAAAAATTATGTGTTTTAAAATATGTTTAGTTATGAATTGTAAGTTTGTGTATCAACTATCAAATGTCACATCAAATATTCCCTACTCAATATAAAACTCTTTTCAAAACTATTTTCGAAACTCTCACTAAACAAATTTTCTACATTCAAATCATAATTCCAAACCTCACAAACTCAAAATACAACGCATACTCTCAAATCATAATTACAAAACTCTACCAAACGCAACCTTATTCAAATACAACTATAATATTCAAGATTTTGCCGGACTAATTTTGGAGTACATTAAATCTCCGACTCCACCAACCATCTTGTTCACGGACTTTTTTTTAAGAAAAATATCAATCAACGAGAAGAAATTTTTTTGCAATAGAACACAGACACAGGCTTTCATTTTTTTACAATTTATTTCACTTATTCCCACTTTTTATTTGTGACTTTTCCACCCAAAAAAAAAAGAATTTTAAATAAAATGTAATTTTTTTAGGGCAAGTAATAATTGTTTGAGGTTCCTCTATAACACCATTCAACAACAAAGCTTTAAATCAGAGGACTTTCTCTCTCCTCTCTTTGAGTAAATTGGCCGCCCCAACTGGTTACTCCTACTTTCTGTTTTCTTGGTCAACCCTCTTAAACACGACATGTTCCACCATCTACATGTCTTCATCATTTTTGAATTTTGACCAAGTCATTTTATTTTCTCTTAATTTTTACAAGAATTTCTTATTCAAAACCAAAAGGGAAAAAGCTGGAGTGATGATGACTTGTGAATTGGAAAGTAGTAGAATTTCGCATCCAAAGACCACAACCAAAGATAAAGTCACCAATACAAAATTCAAAAATAAATAAATAAAAGACGACACAACCCACTAGACTAGAGAATATAACCCACTTTCCTTCTTTGAAATATGTAACCAAATCGACTGTGGCCCCTTTTAGTACAGTTGTGATAAAATAATTATAATTTATAATTTAACAGCTTATAACTTATAAATATGAACATAAATTAATTTTTGATTTATAAATTAAGTTTCTTTTCTCTCACTCAAAAAATAAATTAATTTTTTACTTACAAAAAATTATAAACTGTATTACTAAGCTGAACTAAATACATCAAAATAATTTAAATTAAACTAAAAACTAATATAAATTAAAAATAAGTCGTATCAAACAAGGCTATCTTTTCATTGATTTTTCCTTTCATTTTTCAATTCATTCACATAGAGAGAAAAGTAGAGAATACAGTGTCGGACAATGAATAAACAAACAACCGTTGTTTCAATTATAGAATCAAACACAATTTTCTTATATGAAATTGATGAATCACACATATCATATGAGGAGACCGTGTTTAATTCGATAGACTTAAAGAAAAACCCATTACGTCTCCTTTGAGATAGAGCTGAGTTGAGTCATTGAGCTCACTCACTCATCTAGCTAATAGTAGTACTACACTGTAACTCTCTACACATTTGTGGAATGATGATGATGATAAGTGAAAACACTTGGCTTTTGTTTCACCACCATGCATGATATAATCTAAATCAAGAAGACTCTAAGATAAGACCACTTGTTTCTGCAAGAGAGAGAGAGTGGTTGTGCTCTCCTTCGTAGGTTACAATCAGCATCTTTGGATCGTCTAAAGCTCTCTCCACATGTTTACGTGCTGGGCAACCCCTCACACTACTGCACTTGTAATAACCCCTGTTTTATTATCCATATAAGCCTATCAGATGGAATAAACTTAGAAATATAAACATTGATCAAAAAATAAAGGTGTACGTGAATGAAAGGATAAGTTCGTAAGATGTAGTCTTCATCAATTATGTGATTTTTTTTCTTTTTTCTTTTTTATGTTCGATTTTTGTAGTTGTAGTACCACACCCAAATTAATTTGAAAATTGTATTATACATTTAAATTTTAAATAATTTAAATTTTTTTTTTTTTCCCATGCGCATAACATTTATAGCATTCTAAACAAAAGAATCCCATTTCTTTACCTAAACTAGCCATGCTATAGTCATGAGAATGAAAATCTTGTGCAGACAATTTGGCTCCTAGAAGGGTAAAATTGTATTTTTAAAGTTTTAAAGGTCAAACGTCTCATAACTGATCAGACTCGTTTCAGGGGTACAGTACAGTACAGAAGTAGGAACGAGTCGAGGACTGAGTTAATATTTATCATTGAGTCAAGTTGGAAGATTAGAAACAAATGAGTCACACCAACTACGAACCTTGGATGCGGAGAACCTTTAATGGGTTTCTGACCATACTTCCTCCACGAGTAATCGTCCGGTGGTATATCAGACATCTTCGAGCTTATCGCCGGAACTCTCACAACCCTCTTCAGCCTCAGCTTTCTGATTCCACAAAATCAAATATTAACAAAATTGAATTTCAATAAAACACACACAAATACAAACATATATATATATATATATATATATCAACAATTCATTTCATATGGTAGTTCAGAAGAATATATAAAAAATTAAATTAAATTTAACTTGATAATTTAAATTAATTTAATTTTTTATATCAATAATTTTCTTCGTTGAAATTAGTCAGATAATGAATCAAATTTGATTTTCAATATATCAAATTCGGACCCATATAGCATACCGTCTCTTGGAACAATGGCAGCGGCCGGAAGAGCCACTGCACTTGCCGGAGGCTGCGTTTTCCGACGAACTGCACTTTCTCTTCAACAAGGGCGGCTTTCCGGCGGAGGAAACCTGCGACAGATTCGAAATCTGAAACGCCGACAACGACGAAAGTTGCTTGCTGTCGGTGTCCCCCGTTAAAGACGACATGAACGAGGTGGTGGCACCGGAAATCGCCGGCGAATACGAGGAGAAATTAATCGATTTCGACGCCGAGTCTTTCCGATCAATAACCCCATTTTTCACGATCATGAGGTGGTCGTGCTGAGATTGAAGATGGTGGTGGTGAGAATTTGGGTGAGGAACAGCGAGAGGGACTTGTTGGATTGGTCTCGGGCAATAGATTCTAGTCGATTCAGAGACTTCTTTGGAGTCTCTGTTCTGGTTTTGAACCGGTAGCGCCAGAGGGGCTCTTCTGAACCGGGCATGGCCGGTTCGAGTCCGACCCAGAAGAGAAATGACTCGCTTGAACTTGGTTACAGCCACATCAGCGACTGCTCTACAGTCCATATCTATCTCCATAGTCGATCTCTGCTCTGAATTAGCTGATAATTGACCCTCTTGTCTCTGTTGTTGTTGTTGAGACTGAGAAAGAAGTCTAATGAGCTTCTCAACACTCTCGAGCCCAGAGGCTGCTTCTTGCACCACTGCGTTCTCTTCCACGTGAGACGTAAAGCTGTCGTTTCTGTAACCCATCACGAGCTCGACGGCCATGGCTTCACAAACATGAGCTTGGACCGAAACAGAGGACTAAAAGCTTTCAAAACAGACTAGTGAAGTGGTATAAGTAGTGGATACGATGTGAATATGTTATGACTATTGTTTTTTTTTTTTAATCTCTGTAGAGGATAAAATGGAAAAATTACAAAATATTCATGAAATATTATCTGTATGTATTTTTTAATTAATTATTATTTTTTATATTTTTTAATCACTTAATATATTATCACGTACTTATTTTTTTTATCAATTATAATATTATAAATTATTACATATTTATATTTCAAAATTATTGAATATACCTGTTAAAATAATGATATGGGCGGAAGATAAATAAAGGTGGAGAAAGTGGGTGAAGAATGAATAAATGACTCAACCATTAGATCTTTCTTTCTCCAGTCAAACTTAGGTGCGAATACCATATAACCACAATAGACATTTACCCAAAAAAATCACTAAATAGACAAACAACCTTGGTCGACCTGTGTTATGGGGAAATTAATGTTAATGGACGACAAATATTGGAAAATAAAAGTCAAGTATGCTGCTTTTAATAAGAAAAATAAATATTCATACCAAAAAAATATATATGTATAAAAAATTTTAAAACCCCCGTAGTTTTGTTATTTATGAATATTTTATTTTAAAATATAAAATTTGCTTTGCGTCATTTTATATGAAATTTTATTTTTATATTATTATTTTAAAAAAATAGGATATTATTGTCATAAAATGAGACTCACCATCAATCGCTTGAAAGTGCAATTGAATCACACACCCTCACCCCATTTCACTTATTTTATGGGAAGGAAAATACTATTCTTAAAAACAAAATTTGTTAGAATAATATATTTGTAATTAAGGTATTATTTCACTTGATATTTTATTTTAAAACAATAATTCACAATGCAATTTTGTGATTCTGTATATAAATTTTTTAATTTATATAACATTACTCACATTATTAAATTATCTCATTCAAATTATTCACATCTTAATACATTATTAATCCAATGACATGACATGATACATCACATTTTTCTTTTTTTCAAATAACATATCATAGAAATAGACATTGTGTTTGTTATATTAAAATAATATTTGTCCTCAATAGTACAATAAGGTCAAGTTTAGTTACAAAGAAAAAAGTGCACTTATTTTATCTTTTTATCTTTTTTGGGTCACATCAATCAACATCTCCTCTCTATTTTTTCTACATATAATACAAAAAAAATCAAAAAATATACTTATTTAGTCTTTCCAAACTAGACCTAAATATTGTGGGCATATATAAAACTTATCGACAATGCTACGTAGCTCAAATTTTTGTGGCTCAAATGGCTCAAATCTGTCAAAACGACGTCGTTTTGACAGATTTTGAGTGTAAAACGACGTCGTTTTGACAGATTTAAGCCATTTGAGCCACAAAAATTTGAGCTACTAAACATTTCCCAAAACTTATATTTAAAGATAATTGAGATCTATCATGTGTTATATTTAAAGATAATTGAGATCTATCATGTGACAACGACATCAAAAGTCAAAAAATTTAATAAAATAATTAATGTATATATAACCCTCTATATCTATGCTCTACCCTCTATGCACACAATACACGTATTGATACTGTGCATAAAAAAATTAAAAATTAAATAATTTTTAAAATTAAAAATAATAATCTGGGATGGTGCTAAATTAGTGGTATGAAACATTTTTCAAAAAAAAAAACAAGGCACAAAACACATGTGGCATTGGGTGAGACCCATTGCCACATCATTAGAGCCATCGCTAATTAGTGGTCTAAAACATTTTTATATTCTCAGTATATGAGAGCTGAGGAGGTCAAAGAAGCGTCCTAGGCCGTCCGATATGGGGAGAGTTTGGACGGATATTAGTTCAACGAGTTTGGATTTTTAAAAAATATCTTAATTTTATGAGTGAAGTTGACATATTATGAAATTAATTTGTTTTTATATCAATGATTTTAATTGTTAAATTTATATAATAAATTAAAAAAGTATATATTTAAAAAATTGAATTTATCAAATATAAATAATTATATGATTAAATCACATATATATTATAATATATGAATAATTTATTTTTCAAAATATATAGGCGGTATAAATAAAAAATATTCTAATAGTATAATAATTGATGTTGAATCAATTTACTCTTTTATATTAATAATTTTTTAATTAATTATAAAATTGAATAATTTAAACTACTAAAATAAGTTTAAATTAATTCAATTATAAATCAACTTTATTGTAAAATTAAAAATTTTAATTTTAACAAATTCGAACCCTGTCATGAGTTGGCAAATTCGGACTCTGTTGGTATTAAAAAATTATTGATTGATTTTGAGATATTGCCACATAATACTTTAATAACATTGTGATTGATTAAAAAAAATTTTAAATTTATATTAAATAACTGAAAAATATGAGAGAACATGGTGAAGTGTCCAAAGGCCAATCAATAATTTTTCGGCATGGCTTACTGTGCTGTGATGTATGAAAGTTGACTCCAATCATTCCAAGTTTGTCTTGCGAGATGTCCCGGGGCTTTCAGGATAGATATGGAAAGCCTTTTCTCTCCGGTTCCGGAAAAAAAGTGCCGTCATTTGAGTTCGGTTTATAGGTTTATTTCGGTGATTTCAGTAATTTATTTTTATATTTTATGAAACATTAAATTAATCTCATAATTTCAATCATAAAATTTTATAATTTTTTTTTTCAAATGACAGCAAGTGAAATAAATTTATTATACCAACTTGATTCTTTAAAAGTGAAAAAAAAAATATTCATAAATTCTATATGCGGAGTTAATCCATTTAATTTTAAGAATTTTTTTATGAATTAATTAGTCTTTTTATTTTAAAAAATTATATTTATTTGATTTGATGTCATTTGAGTTTAAGTGAATGTCTGATTCATTTTTTTAATTTTTTGATTTGTTTCTGGGATGAAAATAGAAATGTGAAGATGTGAAAAATTATTTGTGAGGGGATTGGTAACTGAAGTGTTAGTCGCTGAACATGAAAATTTATATTTTCTATTAGTGTGATTTTCTGGTATTATATTAGAATGTTACGTTTGTAAAAAATAATAAGGAATTTTTGCATGTTATATTGATTGGAAAAAAATGCATTAAGAATTTTTTTTGGAATGTTACGTTGCTACGTTTGAGAAAAGTATATTAAGAATTTTTTTAATGTGTCACATTGGAGTGTTACGTTCGAGAAAAATATAAAAGTTTTTCAATGTGTTACATTTGAGTGTTATGGTTGAGTGATTTGTTTCTGGGATGAAAATAGAAATGTGAAGGTGTGAAAAATTATTTGTGAGGGGATTGGTAACTGAAGTGTTAGTCGCTGAGCATGAAAATCTATATTTTCTATTAGTGTGATTTTCTGGTATTATATTAGAATGTTACGTTTGTAAAAAATAATAAGGAATTTTTGCATGTTATATTGATTGGAAAAAAATGCATTAAGAAATTTTTTTGAAATATTACGTTGTTACGTTTGAGAAAAGTATATTAAGAAATTTTTTAATGTGTCACATTGGAGTGTTACGTTCGAGAAAAATATAAAAGTTTTTCAATGTGTTACATTTGAGTGTTATAGTTGAGAAAAATACACTAAGGAGTTTTTGTGTGGTACATTGATTAGAGTGTTACGTTTGAGAAAAGTGTATTAAGGAGTTTTTTTTTTTTTTAATGTTACGTTTGAAAAAAAAATACACTAACAGTTTTTTCAGTGTATTACATTGTAGTGGTATATTATAGTGTTACGTTTGAAAAAAAAAAATTTGAAGTGTAATTTTTAGTAATCTATACTTACTATATATTAAGCAAAATGACTTTTTTAACCTCAAGCCTTGTGGGAGCTCTAATCTCCCAATCTAAATTTCTTGATTTTTTGATTTAAAAAAAATAAAAAATCTTAGCATTTATTAACTTCTCCCAACTCTCAAGTCTTACCGTCATAATAGCACTTTAATGCATTAAGAGCAAGTGCAAAAAAAATTCTTTGAAATCCAACACATATGAATTCCTTGAAAAATCCTAACGCATATGATTATTATCCCTCATAATAACACTTTAATGCATTAAGAACAAACATAAAAAAAAAATCTTGAAAAGTCTAACACATATGCTTATTATCAAAATATTAAACTTTAATATAATATAATAAAAAAAAGATGACATTTAATTCCTTAAAAAGTCCAACACATATGATTATTATCAAAATATTAAACTTTAATATAATATAAAAAAGGAAAAAAAGAAGACATTTAAAAAAAATAAAAAAATAAAAATTTAAAAATCACAATTCACATATATGGATAATTGTAAATATATTAAGGAAAATGGTGTTTCTAAACCCCAAGCTTTGTGGGAGCTCCAATATCTCAATCTTAATTTTCTAAATTTTTGATTTAAAAAAAAAACTCAGCATTTATTGATTTGGTCAAAATCACTTGTTCAACATTTATTAACTTTTTCCAATCAACATGCCTGCATTTATTGATTTGGTTAAAATCCCTGATTAGCATTTAAAATCTCCTCATACAAATAATTATAGATACAGCTCGTGCATAGTTACTGCAATAGCCTTTTTAATTTCTCCTGTACACTATGGTTAGTGATAAGATTGTTAAATTATTTTTATAAAAAATCTTAAAAACTATAATTTATATATTAAAAAAATTTAAAAATATATAAATATCTATAATTATCTTATGCATAGCACTGGTGATAGGTTAATTTTAACATTATGAAAAAACTTGCATTTATCCTTCAATACATAACATGCGTGAGTTTATGTTTGACTCTTTATATAATTCATACTAAAATGAAACCTTTGGGTCCATAAGAAAAAAGGAATGACCAAATAATTTATAAGATCACTATTTGAGATTTATTAATATTTTACCCAAAAAAAACTTTTATGAAAAATAAAATTTATTTTTACTTTCCTTTCTTTTGGCATTTGAATGGTAAAAAAAATTATGCTAAAGGATAAAAATAAGTAAATAATATTTACTTGTTA